TAAAAATTCCATGCAGTTGATCTATTTCGTCGCTGAAAATAGAAGCCAAGAAGAATCGATAGTGTTCTCTGGCTTCAGGCACCTAGATTTCTCACTTTGAATTTGGAACTAGAAATATAATTACAAATGTCTCTACTAGGGGAAGATCAAAATTCATTATTTTTTCACACATGTAAAATCTGGTTAAATACGTTTTCTCGTTTATAAATTACAGAAGATTTTTCAATAATTCCTGATATTTTAAAGGAAACTTTTGATGTATTTGTTTCCTGTAACAGGTCTAAATAATCATTCATTAAAGCCACACTAATTTTAACGATCTGAAAATTAACAAATGAGTTGAACTCTTTCATAATTATAATAAAAAACTTAATTTGGGTTTAAGATTACCTCAGAAGTGATTTTTTTTTTTTTTATTTCTTAATTTAGATGCCTTACAGTCCAACAGTTATTTCCCCTATTAAACTACGGCCATATTAGTGGCCGGTAAATACTGGTAGTTTGACTTAGATTTACCCTGACGAACGAATACGATGGCTGAATGGTATTTTTCCTATGTATAACATGAATATGAGACTTTTCTCGTTAAAAAGTCCTCTACGAAGGCATCTCTTTCCTTAAAAGCAGATAGTCCTCGTGTGTTTTGCTGTATTCAAGTAATCCTAACCTTCAAACTACGGCACCTGTCACACTAAATCAAGATAAAAGGTTTCTAAACAAGATTTTTAATCGGTCTGCGGGCCCCAGTGGCCAAGCGCTAAAACCGCTGAGTACTGGTAATCCTACATAAGTTCAAATCCTGGTGAACACGCTTGTTCGGTGAAAGTTTTCTACGTTCAATGTGAAGGAAATCTAGTTTTCCTTAGAAAGTCCTCCCTGATAGTTTCCGTCCTCTTGCGCAGATGCCAATTCCATTAAATTTTCTGCATTAAACACAATTGTAATTCTTTCTTTTTAAAGAAATCTCAGGGGAAATAATTGTAAACATCAGATTCAGTGCGATTATGAATTATTATTTTAAAGTAGTTAACATTTTGAGTGGGAAAAGCATTTTTAATACGCTCATAAACAACCCCTCCTCTAAACTTGGCATCAAACTGTGTCGATTTCTACAACAATCTATATAAATACGTTTCCAAAAAATTCTGCTAAAATATTAAAAGTTGTATTTGTAGAGCATTTATTAGTTAGATTTGTGACTACCTACTCAACTTTTGGTTTTCATAACCTATAAGGTATTTTCTCCCGCCTTCTTAGCATACCTTCGTGGTGTAATGGTCAGCACGCACGGCGTGTATTCGAGAGGTTGGTGGTTCGAGTGCCGGCGAAGGCATTGCTCCTATTTCACATGTCCTGCTTCGAAATAACCTAATGTTTCTATAGTGGCACCCAAACCAAAAAAGGTGGTGGATGATGATTCTCCGCCGCAAGGATTTGGCGATTCGGTCCCCTAATCCCCAGTCGCCCTTTAAAAGGGGGAGTATATACGGTATTTTCTCCCGCCCTTTTAGCATGCCTTCGTGGTCTCAGTACGCTCGGCGCGCATTCGAGAAGTCCGTGGTTCGCGTCCCGGGTAAGGCATTGCTCATTTTTCATGTCTCTTGCTGTTAAAAAAAAAATGTAATGTCTCTACAAACCTTCCATTCATCAGAATAGTAATAAAGTCATGAAGCATAGGGGGGAAGGGGGGAAAAAGGAATTTTAAAGAAAAGATTATTTTTACAAAATGACTCAAAATTTCTTGAGACAGTATAAGTAGTTATATAACTCAAATAATTAAATATTTGACCTCTTAATTTTACCAGTATTTCTGTATAGAAATAAAACATAATTAAATATCTTTAATGAGTATCATAGATAGTGGAGCACATCGAGTGAGCTTCACAATATTTTCAAAAGCAGCCACTTTGACAAATGAACAGAACTGTCGGGAATCGCTTATGAATGTCACTTACACGTTTCATAATGCCAAGAATGTTATAAAAATAACGGTTATGCTATATCAACAACTTACCGATCTTTCCAAAGTGCTTAAAAATAGAGCTGTTCCAAAAATTGTATTCAGTTCATTCACGGTGTTTAATCAAAAGCTCGTCGTCGATTTTTGAACTACTTATCGATAAGCTATTGAATTCAAATTTTGTACACACACCGTTTACGGATGATAATAATTCGATTTAGATTTTTAGAGTTTTTAAAATTTAATGTCGAAGAAATTTTTTGCGCATATTTCCATTTAAGAATAAACTAAAAATCTTAAGTTTGCATCATTTTACAGAGCGTAAAATAGCTTTTGAAATAAAATTTGCATGAAATTTGTAACCTAATTTCTGATTTTGGGGCGAATTTTGTTTTAAATTTATATATCTTTTCGATTATTTGAGGTAAAAGGATACTTGGAAGTAAAAAGACTGAACCAATAAGTAATAATAATAATAATAATTTATCGCATAGATTAATGGTAATAAGAGATTACTTAATAGCTTCTTTGCTAAATTCCTGTACAGTTTTATAAGAAGAATCATAGGTTCTTAAATTACGAAATCAAATAATTGAATCGCATTGTCAGATGTATAATATTTATAAATTTATCAAGACAGCCTCACGTTTTTATTATTCGTGATATAAATTTGTAGATAGAATTTTTAAAGAGAATTATTTAATCTCGTATTCCCATTAAATTACACGATACATTATTTTTTAAAACAAAGGGCGTTAGCCGAGAAGGTCTATTAACTTCATTTTTTCATTTTCCGTTGAAAACTATGTCAGTTCACTTTTCAAACTGTTGCTACCACATATTACAGCCCTGTATTATATTTAAAGAAATTAAATAATGGTTTTGGTTTATTAGATTACGGCAAAGCACTCGAGGCTATCTGCCTTGAAATTAAATAATGAATAATCTGCATAAATATATGTATGTTTCTCGCATTGTGATAAAACAACGGTACCTAGACCCATCCAATTTTGAATAACGTACATTTCCACCCGAATATGGGCATCTCGAAGCCGAGATTTGGAATTTGTTTTATTATATATGTTTCATATTTCGTAAAACTTCAATGAATTTTTAATTAAGAAACTCAACGATTTTAAAGCGAGCAAAGGCAACACTGTATGAAAATAATAATATAAAAAATTATCTTCAACGGGCGAGACTGTGTATCGGAAATTCTAAAGATATGCTCATTTAAAATTTATTTTGCGGTATTGCTGTTTAACTGAAGTTTTATGGTTTAAGTGCGAAGAACATGATATTTAAAAATAATAGGCAAAAATAAAGTAACCCACAACCATTTAAAAAACCGTTAAAAACCGTTAAAAAAACGCCCTTTGGGCGTAATGTAAAATCTGAAAGATTTGCATTTTCAGATTTTTATGTTTGCATTTATTACTTTTATTTTTCTCGTTTTAATTCATTAATGCTCTTATAGGTAAACGTTCATTTTGTAAAAAATTCTATTTTTTATTCAATAACTGCTCTAAAACGGAAATTCTTAAATCCCTTTATATATGCATCCACTTTGTAACTGGTAATAAATTTGTTTCTTTAGAGTCAGTGTAAGGCCTTTATCCCAAACAAATCAAGATTTCTCTCCCCACGCTAATGACAGCCATTACCCATTGTCGTCAGAATTGCATGGACCCTTGTCCCCTTAGGCATTGGGGGTTGGAAGACATACAAAAATACGGGCTAGTCCTTTTTAGCGTGTTTTTTCGATAATACAAAAACACGGGACTGTCCGTTTTCAAGGGTACATTTAAACTAACAATAATCCGTAACGAACCGTTAAGAGACCTGCATAAAAGAACGAGAAAATCGGGGCCAAACCGTTAATGGGTTAATGGTTTACAGGGTAAGGCATTTCAACATCTCTATAGATGGTTTCATTCTTGGTGACTAAATCAATCAAGTTAAGGTGTGTCTCTATTTGGAACATAGAAAGTGGGTTTGTTGCCGTTACAATTTCTTTCTTCACACTCCTCCCTTATTTTATGAACTTTTTGTAGGAAGTCGCACGGGATGTTGAGATTTCTAGTTGTGTCCCGATAATTAATACAGAAATTATGGCCAATGTGAAGCAACCTTTCATATAAGATAACAGTTCTCTCTTCAGTAATGGTTCTTATGGACAAATTTATTATCAGGAGTAGCATAGTTTCAATGGAGGTAGATTTAACACATCCATTAATAAGTCTAATTGCTTGATTTTGAAAAATTTCTGAATTCTTGAGAACTTGCTCACTTTGTGTTATGAGTGATTCACTGTAATATACAATCAGAAATAATACAAATGTCTTGTAAGTAATATTTAGAGTTGTTCTGGTATTTCCTCACAAGGAGCTAGCCAAGTGTTTCAATATAGTGAACTTTTGATAGGAGCGTTCTGTATGTAACTTTACATGTAGTTTCCAACTCAACTTATTATCAAAGATATTGCCTAAGTATTTAAATTTATCAATATTTACAGTTCAAACAGCTTCAGACTTCACTTCAGGGCAGAGTGCTTGATGGGTCAGTGAGAAGGATTGGACTGCAAGTTTATCCAAATTTACCATCATGTTATTTCCAGTTCATCATTTTGAAAGCACAGTCATAGCTTTATTCAGTTGCTCCTTCATCACGAGCTTTACATTAAGTTTTGGTGTCTCAGTCCAGATGATTTCATCAGTAATAGCATCAGTAATAGTCATCAGTAAATAGCAAGCCGTGGACTACCTGTAATGCTCTTTAGGGTGGCAACTACGTTATTAATATAGATGTTAAATAGGGCACTTCTGCTTACTGATCTCTGTGGAAAGCCGGTTTGTAAGTTATAATATTTTGAATAGCAGTTTTATATTTAACTTGGTCTGTAAAGACAGATACATTAATTTGTAAAGGACTTTATCCATTTTAGCACCTTTCCATTAATTCCCATATTAAGGAGTTTTTTATAAAGCTTTTCTTGCCATACCATATAATATGCACCAATATACACTGTTGTTAGAATATTCGTTTCATATAGGACAGTGGTGCAAACCTATGACCCACAAGCCAGGCACTGACCAACAAAGGCTTTTTAAATGACTTGCATGTTGGTTTTTATAAATTTATTTTTTATCATAAAAAAGTGGCCAGACTATTAAGAAATTAAAGTATAAATAGCTTATGTCGAATTTATAAAAAAAAATATTTCCAAGTGGACGTTGGCCAACTGATTTTCTATCATGTATCACTTAGCACTCCAGCTGCACATCTCTAGTCTTCTTCAATGATTCATTACAGGTCATATGCTTAGAATTTTAAATGCACAGGTGCCTGAAAAGTTGTCTGATGTGGCACATTTAAAGTTTGCATAAATGAATGCTAAATGCATATATTATAACGATAATAATTGGAAGGTTTTGAGGAGATAAGATTAATTATTTTCCGATTTCTTATTCTTATACAAACTGTTCTTAAACTATTAAATAACTAACTAATAGTAAACTTTTCTTCCAAATTAAAACTAATATTTTAGAGAATGTTTCGCTGGAGTGACTTTTTCTTAATCAGAATGATATTCCTTAGCCAAAAATGAATCACATATACAGACACTAAATCAGTGACTGTGTTTTCAATATTAGCTGAATTATTACTTTGCTGATAAGCTTTCAATGATGTCGGTTTTAATTTTAATTACGTTAGCATACTGTGATTTGATTCCCATTAGCATTACATGCTGTATACATGCCCAAAGACAGTCCTATGACATATTAGGAAAGGATTCTGTATAAATCTAGGATGTTTCCATTATTCTGATTCTTGCATCTGCAACTATGTTTTATTAATGAAGAATATTCCATAACATATATGTGTGTTTAACTCTTTCATTCAAATGCTCAGTGCGAAGGCGACACTGGGCATGGTGTTGCCTGGTAATAAAAAAAATTAGCAAGCAGTTTTTAATTTCATAATTTTATGAAATTAAAAACTGCTTGTTAATTTTTATCACAGAAATACTTTTTGTTTTCATGTAAGAATATTTTGATGTTAAATGTTAATTAAGGCAAATAATGTTAAAACATTTATTTACTAAAATATTTCGAGTGTGCTCTTCCTATAAATATGAGAAATTAAAAAAAAAAATGTACTGTTTGTAAATATGTTTCTTTCTGTTGTACTAATACAATACAAAGTCTCTAAGCCGGACATTATCCGGAATGATCTATAATCCGGACCTCAAAGCCACAAACTTACACATGCGTGTAATGCATTTACGCATGCATCTTTGATGTGCGTAAAGCCAGTAAAGCGTTTACCCATGCTCGCTTTCGATAGTGAAAAGAGTAACAGAGAATGTTATTGAAAATGAAAAAATTTCGATTGACGAGTTAGTCGGTATTCTCAACACAGCAATTACAGGACTTGAACAGTGGAACTTTGTAACTGAACAAGAAATTATGTCTGTATATAGAATTAAAGAGAAAGTATTAGCACAAAAAATGAAACAACTTAAACAATTTACATTGATAGAAATGTTTACTAAAGTAAACAAATAAATATTAAGCTTTTTTTTATATACATTTTGATACCCTTTAGATCATAATTGCTGTTTATTTCATAAATTACGATTTCATGTTTTTAATTGTATAATTTCTGCATGCCATCTTACTAGATTTAAATCGATGATCTATAATCCGGAAAAAAACCCCAATCCGCAATCGCCGAAGTCCCGACGAGTCCGGATTACGGACTTTGTACTGTATACAGAGTTGCCAACTCTCCCGATTTAGGCGGGAGACTCCCGATTTTCGACCGCTCTCCCGCCAACCCGATTTATAATATATTTCTCCCGACTTTTTCTTATTCTTAAAATTTCTCATGATTTTTATGGAACTTGGCTTAATGCTTTGTTATATGAACAAAAAAAAAAAGTGATTTTGGATGTCTGAAAGCAATTGAATTTTCTCTAGCTTATATCTAAAACAAAACCTTGCGAATTAGATAACTTCTGCTTTGTGAGTGAGAGCATATATGTATCCAGAAAGGTCGTTCTCCAGTTCTCCAATGGGCATCGTGCTCCACTGCGTGTTATTTGGATGTTCTTTAGTTATTTCGGTCATTTTGTCCTGAGTTGTGTGAGTACACATGCTTTCGGGAAATAGTTTTAGAAATTATCATCTTTTGTTATGTCTGTGAGAAAGGTGAAATACTCGTGTACATTTCAAAAATCCTACACAGTTGACTTTTCTTCCATTATTTCCTCAAGGAAATGTAATAAATTTGCGATGTGTACCACCTGTCGTTGCAATTTTTTTATTTCGCATGGTGGAAGGGCAGATGTACTCAAACATCTGCGTACACAAAAACACAAGGATAACATGAGTTGTTTTGAGAAAAAAAACGGAAAATTAAATTTTTCTTCAGAAACAGAGGACCAAAAAGTTATTAATGCCTGTTCTCTGCCTTTTTGCAGGAGTACAACCTGCCACTGAATGCATCGGATCACGCTGCAGCTTTATTTAGAAAATTGTTTCCGGATAGTGAGATCGCTAAGAAATATTCAAGTGCAAGAACCAAAACAGGTGCAATTGTTAAAGAAATGGGTTTGAAAAATAAATCATCAGTTATTGATTGCAATAAAACAGCTCCGTTCTGCCTCTCTATGGATGAAAGCAATAATACCAATTCAAAACTGTATCCAATTGTTGTTTCTTTTTATAATCCAGAGTCTTCAGAAATTGAGTGCAGTTTACTTTCTGTCCCCACTTTAGAAGGACATTTGATAGGCTTTAATATACCACAGCTAATTATTAAAACTTTAAAAGAAAATGTAGTCCCTCTGGATAATGCTTAGCATTTGGTGCTGATAATACACCAGTATTGGTAGGCTTGAATACTGGTGTTGCAGGCATCTTAGGAAAAATTCAGATTTGCAGATTATGAGGTGCACCTGTCACCCCTTAAATTTAGCAGCTGAAAAAAGGGCAGCTTCTTTACCAATAAATGTGGATGAACACATTGTTGATATTTATTATTATCTTGAAAGGAGTTCTAAAAAGAAGGAAAAATTGAAACAGTTCCAACAGCTGCATAACAGCAGTTTACAATTAGAGAACTTGGATGAAGTTATAAAATCAGCTAAGATTGACACCCAGTGGAGTTTAATTAGAAAACTGAAAGATGCTGATGGAATTTTGAAATATAGTGAACTGTCTAGAATTATGTTGGCCATCTTGACAGTTCCCCATAGCAATGCAGAGTGTGAGAGGATTTTCAGTGTTGTTGCGAAAACGAGGACTAAATTTAGATCTAATATTCGTGATGACACATTAGAAAAACTTTTATTAGCGAAAGCAGGCCTACGTGGCAATTGCTATGAACAAAATTATGACGTTTCTTAAACAAAAGCAAAATCTGCCACTGTTTATAACATTTGTACGAAAACTGATTAAAGTTTTTTTTTTCTTTTCTTTTCTTTTTTTTTTTTTTCGTTTTCTTAAACGATGCAAGTAATAAGAAATTTTTTTTATGTGTAAGGTATTTTTCTGTTGCTTGCATTTAAGAATTAGTTACTATTTAAAATTAATTCATTATTAAAAACTATATTTTCATCATTTAAAGTCTTTTTAACATTGTGAAAAATCTCCCGATTTCTTAAAAAAATCTCCTGATTTTTGAGTGTCATAGGTTGGCAAGTATGTGTATATGTTCTTACACCGATTACATAAAACCCACAGGATGAAACTCAGAAAATGTTTAGATTTTTTTTTTTTTTTTTCTTTCTTTTTCTTTAAGACTAAAATTGGTACTTAAGTATTATCGCAACCAGGTTGGCACGATTTGTAAGTTTGAGTAAAAAAGTATGAATAGAAAGAAAATGTACATTTATTAATTAAAGATAATTTTAATACAGTTTTTTATATTATTTTGTTTTAAAATATATAGCAATTAAACCCTTCCGTTTTCGAATTTGAATAAGTTGCAGAATTATTTTTTCGGCGGAAATCTTTTGGCTATTGCTTTTAGCACTGATTGAAAACCGTCTTCGCCATTAACAGCTTGAGCTTGGCGCCATATAAATTCGATAAGGTATGAGTCAAGATGATGACGGGCTGTTCCTCTCTTTTTTTTGTTGCGCCATTTGGCTGAGCCCCACATGCGCTCTACATGTTGTGTGTGAACGCCCGTGTTGGGATCCGCAAAGTTATATTTGTGATTAACAGTTCCATGCAGAAATCCAGCATTTTCGAACTCGCTTGTATTGTATTCTTTCCAGCAATCCGAATAAATGATGCTTCCTTCGTTGATATTTTCGCAGTTTTTCCATGAGGGTGTAACGGCGCTTTTGTTAGGTACAGTAACCAAAAAAAAGTCTCTTTTCTCAGCAAATTCCGCCGAAAACCCATTGCTGTGGTAGTACACGCCCAGTGTTATTTTTTCTTTTTACAAATAAACTTTCGTCTATTTTCACACATGTATGGTTGCCAAATTTGGCGATTTATGCGAATTTTGGCCTGGTTGCGTTAATACGTAAGTACCCTAAAATTTTGTATTGTTTTCTGCATAAATGTACTAAATGAGAGTTTTGTAAATTTATTACTTTCTCTTTATGATTTTGAGTTAATTTAGTATGTTTGCAGTAGACTACAACTAAAAATACTTTTTTAATATTGTGATATTAAATGTGATAGATGGCCGCAAAGAGAGCGTTATGTTCGACAAAATCACTTCCAGAATCCAAAAGCTTTGTTATGGTTTAAGTATGGATTACATTGATCCGGTAAGTAAAAACTTTTCGTTTGAGCTACTGAATATTGGTAACTGAGTGAATTGCTTATGTTTGAAATATGTAAAATTGTACATTCAGAAGTATTTTAGTGATTTTGTATTTTTAGCCTGCCATCACAATGAAAGTCATAAATGGCTTGTATCCTGGTGTTACAACAGTTGAACTTGATAACTTAGCTGCAGAAATTGCAGCGACTATGACTACAAAACATCCTGACTATGCCATCCTTGCTGCACGCATTGCTATATCAAATCTGCATAAAGAAACAAAAAAGTCATTTAGTAGTAAGTGCCAATTTTATTTCAAAACTAGAAAGGTCTGTGTGCAATATGCCTTAAACAGACAGTAGTAAGTGTATGTTGAAATGTTTGTTTTTGAAGAATCTTAATTGTGTAACACCTATTTAAAACGTGTTAAATCTGTTTACAAAGATAAACAATTATTTAAATTGTTTATCTTTGTAAACAAATTTGAATTGATTCATCTCTAGAAATTTCCATAATTAAACTCATTCTGGGAATTTGGTGGCTTCTAATAAGATGGTTGGGATAATATAATATGTATGTAGCTCTGCACCTCCTTTGGAAAAGTCACCAACTCAGCTAGTAGTTTTTTGTCAAGTTAATAGGCAGAAACTAATAGACATTTTGAAAATAGCAGTGCATTATGAGTTCTATAAAAGGCAATTAATCAGTAATATTAAAAAAATAAGAAACATCTGTCATTAAACACCTACCTTTTTCAAGAAATCCGTATGTGATTTTTTCCACTGTTTTCCCTTCGTACACAGTGATTTGTTTTCACTTAAAAAGCATCATCAGAGAATTCCACAAATTTGTAGAATTCCTTGTGGAATCTTTCATAACTATTGTACATATACTGTTGTTCTCCCCATCTGGTTTTGTTTAAGAAAGAAGAAAGAAAAAGAATATATATATATATATATATATATATATATTGGAGACTTGCACGAATTTGGATGATCAAAATTTGATGATTTATAAAGTAAACTTCATGGAGTGTGAAATTTTGCATTCTGTGCTGTTGGATAAAGTGTTGTATTTCTGAACAAATGTAACGCTTTCTTTTCATCAGCTGGAAAACTCCACAGTCCCCTTCTGTGTACTTACAAGGAGAAAATGTGCTCAATATAAACACAAACACTAATCAGTAAAAGGACCATCAAATTCAAAGGTGGAGATTTGCATTTGTCTGTTGCGTGCATGTGCATGCCTGGATTGCCACATAAATACATTTTGGGACTATCATAGGTTTCCTTTTTTTAGCGATATAGTATGCTGCTGAGTAAATACTTTCCAGGGAGAGGCTGAGAATAATAAAAAGAACCAAAACTTGTACTTTTTATGTTATGTGTCCATTACTTTAAAAATCTGTGAACGTGTAATATTTAAAATAGCTGACATTTTTTTTCAGTTAATTTAATTTTTTTCCAGTTTCTGCTTTTTTTTCTTCAAAAAGTGCCTTATTTATGTAATTGTTTCAAAAAAAAATTGCTATACATAGGAACAGGGAACTGTATATGAATATTGTGTATTGAGAGGAATGTAATTAAAGAAGTTTCCATTTCTGAACTAGACATAAAATCTGATTTTAAATTTCTGCATTTTTGTAAAGACTGGATTCATGCGGAAATTATTTATATGGAAATAGAATTAAAGTGTCTAATAGTATTATTGCTTTTTTTTAATAAAGTTTCAGAGAAATGTGAATGTAAATTATTATTCATTTTTAGAAAAAGTATACCTTTTACAAAGTTTCCTATCTTTTCTTTTTATAAAATAAAAATTGTCTTGATTATCTGATGCAGTCTACTTTCAGTTAATACTAAATTTTCTGGCTTCTGAAATAGACATACAGCAAAAAGCATGATGAGCTTGCGCTTCACATCTGTGTGGTAGAATGTCTTTTGCCACAGAGGGATATTATCTTCCTAGCACAGTGTCCATAATAATAATGATTCTGTCTCCACTAGAAGATCCAGTGGAGGGTTCCCCATCAGCACTTCCAGTGCCACAGTGTTAAGGATGTTGTATAACCTTTTCATATTATCAATAGTTACATTCTTTGGATGGTGAGAAGTTGCCTTCTCATATGGGCAGTGAGCTTCCTTTCCCATATGGCAGCCGCATGTAATATAATCTTTTCTGAGATTGTTCTGTACTTTTGAGCATAGTGATTGGAGTACCCCAATGAGGTCCTGTTGTTCTAACCATTGAATTCCTAAGCTGATTTATTTTCTGCTTAAGCTCTTTAATGTGTGATACCCAGGAAAGTCTATTGTTAATTATGGTACCTAGGTATTTAAGATCACCTACTCCTTTTAGCTTTATAGTGTGATTCCTATTTCGTGCTTCTTGCGTGCATATAAACCATTGTTTAGTTTTATCTGCTGAGATATTTAATTTGTGCTGATTTGCCCAGGTTGAAAAAATGTTTATCCCATTTTGCTGTTTTAGCCTAATGTACAAGCTACCAGATATGGTCAATTGAAAATCATATGTTTATGCCTGGATACCCACTCCTTGTTGTAGGTTATAAAGTGTGAAGGTTGCATTTCCTACAAGATCCCAAAGTGCAGATACCAAGCATGACCCCTGGGGACAGCCTTTTTACAACTTTGATTATATCATTGTCCGTTGTAGCCTGTACTCAACAACCCTGCAAGTAGCTCCATATAAGTTTCAAGGCATTGTTTGTAGAACTTTTCCTGTGCAGAAGCCATATTGTTTTTCGTTTATAGTCTTGTTCCTGTACATGGGGAAATTAAGGCTGTGTAGTGTTGTTACTTTTTCTAAAAGCTTACTGGTTTATAGTAAGCTTATAGGACTATATGATGCTGTGTCTGACGAGCCTTTGCCCTGCTTGTGAAAGAGCGTAATTTCAGCTAGTTTCGTGTTTCTAGGGAATTGTCCCACTTGCCAGCATGCTCTTTGTAGTTTTATAAACAACTCTGAGAATTCTTTATAAATTTCTTTACAATGATATTATCTATACCATCGGGACTAGGCGCTTTTCTGTCTGCTAAGGCTTTAATGATGTTATGGACTTCGTAGTCTGTGGGAAGAGTAATAGCTCTGTTGCTACTTTTGATATTGAATATTTGTTAGTGGATGGAAAGTAGACACGGACGTTCGTTATTGGGTTTATTGGCCGTGAGAAGAACAAGTTCATACAATAGATATACAGGTAGTTTGGCGCTCGCAGGCGCCCTCTTGCAGAGAACAAAATCAAAATTTACATAAGGCGCGAACATGCCGCCCACCTTGAAATACTATTTAAACATTCAGTGGTTAAAAATTCAGCAAATTTAAAAAACACTACACAATATTAAAATCATGACATAATACTTAATTTATAATACATGAATTAAAACTCAAATTGGTAATGGACACAATTTTGTAATATTTCTTTTGATCATGCCATCTGAAGTCTTAATAGTCACAACCCTAACCTAACCTACCCAATGACAACACGCAACTGGCATATTATCAAGACCAGGATGTAATTGAGTAATTCTACCCATTTTCCATTTAGTTGGAGGTAAGTTATCCTCCTTTATGAGACATAGATCACTAACTTGAAAATTTTTAGTTGGCAAAAGCCATTTTGGTCTTTGTTATAATCAACACAGATATTCTTTGTGCCAATGCTTCCAAATTTGTTGAACCATTTTTTGAATATGTTGCCATCTAGTGAGATGGGAAACTTCAATGTAATTTGGTTCAGGAATGCTTGTTAATGATCTACCAATAAGAAAAAATGACCAGGCGTTAATGCTGATAAGTCATTTGGATCATTAGACAAACTTGTTAAAGGTCGCGAATTAAGACAAGCTTCTATTTGTGTGAGAAATGTTTCAAATTCTTCATATGTCAATCTCGCCTCACCAACTACTCGTTTTAAATGGTATTTTGTTGATTTTATGGCCAGCTTCCCAGAGTCCACCCATATGTGGCGCACCTGGAACGTTTAGATGCCATTTAATGCCATTATCAACCAAATATCTGCTAACATTTTGGTTATAAGTTGCAGATCCTAGCAAGCCTTTCAAATTCCATCAGTTTGCGTTTTGCTCCAACAAAATTGGAACCACAATCGCTATATATATCACTGCTTTTGCCTCTGCGGGAAATGAACCTCTTAAGAGCTGCAATAAAAGCATCTGCTGAAAGATCAGTCAGTCACTAATTCTAGGTGAATAGCTCTTGTCGTAAAACAAACAAATAGAGCTATATATGCCTTGAATGACCTAGAGCCTCGACCCTTATTTGCTTTAATTTGAAAAGGACCTGCGTAATCCACTCCACAGCGCAAAAACGCAGGAGCAGGCGAAACGCGACTAGACGGCAAATCGCTCATCAATTGATTAGTGACAGATGCTCTAATTTTGCAACACTTTATACATTTCCTAACTAAATCTCTGATAACAGCTCTACCATTTATGATCCAATATTGTTCTTGAATGCAAGATTGCATAAGTTGTGGACCTGCATGCAAAAGTCTTTCATGGTAATGTCTAACAATGAGATGAGTTAAAATGTGCTTCTTTGGAAGCAAAATTGGATGCCTAAAACCATATGCAAGGTTTGCATGTCGCAAGCGACCGCCCACCCTGAGAATACCTAAATTATCTAAAAATGGATTCAAAGATAAAATTTTGCTTGTACCAGATAATGATTGATTTCTGCCTAAAGTGTTAATTTCATTCTTAAATTCAACATATTGCATTAATTTAATTAACACATGCATAGCTTTAGTTAATTCACTTGTTTTTAGAAAATCCACTTACCTGATCTTCTGAATTTTTACAGTTATTTACAAACCTCAGACATAATGCTATAACACGTTTTAGTTTGGTGAGAGAAGAATATTTATAAAATAAATCATGAGCATCTGTCAAGTGACTAGCAGCAGTTGTTGACTGTAAAGCACATCTTTGCTCAGGCACAGAAGAATCATTCGGTAGTGATGTAGATAATAATGGCTGAAAATGAAATAAATCATGCAATAAATCTGGAACACGTAGCCACAATGAAGTAACTAGTGAAGATGATGACACACCACGAGTTGCAAGATCAGCAGGATTAGCATTTCCACTCACATGATGCCACTGGACAGGAGAGGATAAAGTCTGGATTTTTGCTACTCTGTTGGCGACGAAGGTCTTCCATCGGCTTGCATGAGATCTTATCCAGGCTAATACAATAGTGGAATCAGTATGAAAATAAACTTGCGATATAGGAGTATTTAAAGCCCTACAGGT